TGGGGGGGGGGGGGGGAACAGAGATGTGTTTACCAGGGCAAAGTGAGATTTCTTCATGAAGCTTTTGAAGAGGACTTGACTTTTTCTTGATATCCAAGAAATGTTACATTCCATTTCTAAACAGAAACTCCAGGAGAAGTGAACTCCAGCTATACTGACAATTTGGAAATAAAGGTAGTTTTCATTTAGTGACCACAATTGGGACTGGCAACTCAGTCATTAAATGAAGCAGTCACTAAATGAAACCATGACTGCTTATGATCTTATTTCAGCTTTCTGCAGTAAGAAAGTAAGTAAGTAAGTAAGAACTGTAGTGCCTGACACTTTGCTTTACGGACCTGCAAAGGTCATAAATGCAAGGATTGGTTGCAAAGTAACTTTTTCATCACTGTTGTAACTGGCCACTGTAGGAGGCAGTCACTAAACAAGGACTAACTGTACATATTTGACAGTTCACTGTCAGTGTGCCAAATAATACAGTATAGGCATAAATATGGGTAACTGCACATTACTATGACTACTACCATATCAAATTCTCTTTTAAATAAACTCTAGGAAAAGGTTTTTTGTCTACAATTATTTGATATTAAGTCCTCTGTTTTTCAGACTGTCATAGATGCCAATATTTTCCCAGCTCTAATAAATATTTTGCAAACTGCTGAGTTTCGAACAAGAAAAGAAGCAGCTTGGGCTATCACTAATGCAACATCAGGTGGCTCTGCTGAACAAATAAAGTAAGTAGCAGTGAACTGGTCAAAGCTGATTGATGAGAACTATTACAAAACATTATGGGTGGTGATCCAAGGGCCACATGGCTACCATTCTTGATCCCTTAAACACCCCCAAGATTGTGCTACTGAAATTCACCAAAAGTGCAATTTTCAGCAGTGCAGTTGTTTATATTTTTGCTGTTAAAAGTACAAGAGAAAAGTAGTAAACACCTTAATGCACTGTTTTGCACTTTAATCCTCCCAGACCCTTCAAAAAAATAAAAAGGACCAATTTTTGGTCCCATCTTCCAATAACATCACTGCCAAGTTTCTTCTGTTCCTTGAAGACCAAACACCCCAAAAACAAACATCAGCCAAGCCCTGTCTCCATTGCATAACAATTGCCTCCCCTTGATGTAATTGCTCCCAAAGATACTTTAAAATAGAACAATTGTGGTAAGAGCTGATTCCATGTTTTATTTTGTCTTGCCTGCAACCAAAAGATGCCATCACTATTTCCTAATGTTATTCAGTATATCTTCATTAATGCCTTAGGGTGGCCTTTTTATACTTTTTAGCAGTTTTTCAAATTCTTTATATTACTACTGACTGAATACTTACCCAAAGAAAACTGATTATTTTTCTCAGTAATAAGTCTTCCTTTAGTACACCAAACTTTTGACATTTGAACTATATTAATTTTACCTTTCAAAGCGATCTGCTTTTAAGTGATGTGCACTTTGACCAACAAAATCCTCTGGGTGACTTGATTCCAATTGGTATGGTTTTCAGATATCTAGTAGAACTCGGTTGCATCAAACCACTCTGTGATCTCCTTACTGTGATGGATTCAAAGATTGTGCAGGTAGCACTTAATGGACTTGAAAACATCCTGAGGCTGGGTGAGCAAGAAGCAAGAAGAAGTGGCACTGGCATTAATCCATACTGTGCACTCATCGAGGAAGCCTATGGTAAGGATGATGGCTAGAAACCAGGAGGCTGAGCTTGCTCTTTGCCTCCCTTAGACATGAAAGCCAGCTGGGGGACTTTGGGCCAGTCACTCTCTCTCAGCCCAACCCACCTCATAGGGTTGTTGTTGTGGGGAAAATAGGAGGACGGAGGAGTATTAAGTATCTTCGCCACCTTCAGTTGACATATATATATAAATATATATACATTTTAAATGTTTAAAATGTCAGAACCTGCATCACCCAACTGTTGTTGTTTTCCATTATATTGCATTCGTTGGGAGT